TTTTTTATTGAAAGGTATATCATTTTACTAAGGGTTCAAAGTCACTTGATTATATGAATTTGTGCATATGCTTAGGTATGTTTGAGGATTCTGGGGATTCTCTATTCATTTGACAGCATTTGATAATATTCTTTTTTTTTTATCTCATCTATTTAGCAATGCAGCTCTGAGTTACATTGTATTACTCAATATTCATGAGTTTCCAAATCCTCTCCTTACTTCTATATACCACTATTATTATTTTGCAATTTATCTTGACTAGTCTCCCCTTTCTCTTTCACATAACTGTAAGAATGTTTGTTAAGTAAGTAAAACCTATGGATTAGCTCATTGAATATTTTAGAGCATTTGAGGATTACTGTGGCATCCGAAGTTGCGTTTTAATTTCTGTACCTAAAAGTACTATTAAAAAAAAAAAAAAAAAAGAAGCCACATGTTTTTTTCTCGTATAAACAAGATTGTTTGCTGGGTGGTATGGTGGCGGTACATGCTTTTAATCCCAGCACTCAGGAAGCAGGCAGATTTCTGTGAGTTTGAGGCTGCATGGTCTATAGAGTGAGTTCCAGAACAGGCTCCAAAGCTACAGAGAAAGTATTGTCTCAAAAAAGCCATAAAAAAAAAAAAAAAAAGATTGTTTGACTCAACTTATTGAATGTGCTTGATCACATGTAGGTGGAAGACACGTTGGCAGGAAATATGTTGGGATATATGCATATATGTGTTCCCCTGATTGTATGTAGGCAGGAGGTGTGCAGGTAGGAAGTTTATCAGGACATATGCTTGCCCCTAGTGGGAAATATGGTGGCCTTATAAGTTTGACTTTATAAGCCTCTGCAAAATGTAATTTGTTGTCATTTTTTGGGAAACCCAGAGTGAACTAGGTCAGAGTCCTTTATCCTGGCCAGTATTTAATTAAAGATTATTTCAGTTTTGGGTCAAAATTGTGACAGTGTTCTTATTCTTGCCCAGTGTAATTAACAAATAAGAAAGGTTATAATACAGCCTCTGCTCGTGGGAGTGAAGTCTGTTTCCCTCAGTCTAGACTTTATAAACCACTCTCATAAGGTTTTAAAAATGCTTGTTTATGACATTGTAGCTGTTTGTGATAATGGTTCTTTTACCCACTATTTTAAGTCTGTTTATAATATTGCAATGTAATAATGAAATAATTGTAATAATTGAGTATAAGTATAACAAGCATTATGAAGTATAATATGTAAGAGTTGTTATATAAACAAAGTGCTTATTTTCATATTTTATTTACATCTAATATTGTAGAAAACAATTGCTAAGTTTGTTCTTCCCTCTAAAATGATTCATACTATGCTGACCAGGTTAGCTTTACCTTTTGGGATCATGCAATCTTCCTGCCTCAGTGCTCCGAGAGGCTGGAATTACTGGGACTGTAGCACTATGCTCAGCTAACTGCTCTATAAGCAGCTGTCTACCTTGGGAGGACAGTCAGAAGAGCCTACCCTCACTACACTATTTGTGTGCATGGAGCACAAAAGGAAGTGAAATTGCCAAGGACACCGACTTTTCAATATTTAGCATGTATTTGTGGGTATTCTACTTTAGATTAGATTACTTGTTTCTGTTAAAACCTAGCTTGCTTGGGGTTTCAAAACATAAAAATTATATATTTTTGGGTCTCACCCTCTGCCTGAAGGGTAACTGAATGCTACAAGGCTATCTTTACGAAGCAAATGTGGTTCCATTCAGCTCAGGCCAAACTTGGCAAATGCATCTTTTTCAGATGGTCCCAGAAAAGTTTTAGAGAAACTCAATCAGGTTTCTTTTAACTAATGGTGACACTGTTTGCTTTGTCTCTTTATTGAAGGAGACATTTTCCCTCCTAGTGCCAGTTTTATCCCTACAAGAAAGTCATGTCTACAGAAACTGGAGGAGCTGCTCATAGCTTGACACTGTTACAGAGGAGTGAATAGGCTATTGTTCTTCACAGCTGGGTGTAGGCTCCTTTCTGTCTTCTACAGGCCTGCTGTTTTCCAATGGCTTTTATTTTTGTCACCTAAGTGAATTATGCAGTATGGAAGGAGTACAGCACAAAGGGTTTACACTAGAACCACTCCAGGTCATGGCCAGGCTGGAAGGTGAAATTAGATGTGGACTCCTATCACCTTTTTCCCTTCAACAGGAAATTTAAGGAATTTCTTTTCATCTGGAAAGGGACAAATTTAAAATTACTCAGGGACTGCCTCTAAAACCCCAGACAAAGCTTATACACCGAAAGATAATTTTGGATAACACCTGAAGCCATACACAGGCAAAGAAGGTAGCTTTTCAAACTTGTGCACACTCCTGTCTCCAAATGACCCACACACACCTCTTTACACTGATAGCATGACTTTTTACAGACCTATTTCTGCCACACACCCACTGCTGTGTGCATGCTCTCCAAGGCTGAAGCGGAACTTTTATAAAGTCCTCAGTGATATTGCTCTGTGATAAGTGAGTGAATGGGTGTGGAAAGATATCTATTTTTACACTTGAAGACAGAGTTAGCTCAGCGGATTACTGCAAGAAAAGCTGATCTTGATAAGATCAAATGCCTCAGATGAATTTAGGGGCCTCTCTAGGGTGATGATATGGTCCATCCATAGCTTCAGGAGCAAGTCAATTGAGTAGGTTAGAAAATTGTTTCCAAGTTTGAATATTAAGAACATTCTGTTAATTATTACTGATGTTAGGGTTAAATTTTTCTGTTTTTTGTTTAAATGTATGTTAGTAACTCTAATAGTATACTTGGTGCTTTTCCACATTATAGTTACAGAGAGTTTTAATGGACTGACTTTGTTACTTTTCTTCCTTGAACTGGCTACTCTCAGGGACAGTCTTTGCACAATAATCTTAGGTTGCCTTTTTTTTAAGATGAATACTTATTTTTTTTTTTTTTTTTGAGAATGGTATCTAATTCCCATTGATTCAGGGGAAAGGGAAATACCAATCTACCAAAGCCAATCATTAAACTAGGCAATAAGGATGCTAGAGGTGTGGCATCGTGGTTAGGAACACTTGCTACTTTCCAGAGGCCTAGAGTTCAGATCCCAGCACCCATGTTGGGTTATTCACAAACCCCTGAAGCCCCAGTTACAGGAGTTCTGACAACTTCTTCTGGAACCTGCAAGAAAGTGCATGCTCTCTCTCTCTCTCACACACACACCTTAATATTGTTTAAAATCTTAAAAGCATTAAGATGATTTGTATAGCCAAAAAAGAAAAAAAAAAAAAACAAGAAACAAAATAAGTAACTTTACAAAATTAAATTTACTTTCTGCAAATTCAAATACACAGTAGTCCACTTTCATCTATGTAGCATTGACTTATGTCTTACTTATGTTCAGGGAGCCAAACAAAAGCCTCGTGTATAATAAAGGCATAAAATAAAACAAAACACTATGTTACTCTAGGAAGCCAAATAAAATCTTGAACAGATAATGTTACAAAGCCAGAACAAAAACCTAACTAGATGGCTGTGGAAGTCTCCTCACTTAGTACACACTCACTTCCCTTCCATGTTCATGTGAACAAATAGATCTATTGAGCTAAAGGGGATACAGAAATTTAGGAACTGGCTCTGGCCTTGCTCTGTAAACCCATCTTGCTGAGTTTCTACAGGGACTCACAGGTAGTCCAGCTTAGTGTTCTGTACAGGTGACGAGGGCCCTCTGCTGCACATGTGGACACTGGGTAGTTGACAGGAAAGTTCATGTGGAGTTAAGGTTGTTTGCTCTCAGTGTTCCCTTTTGAGTTCTTTTCACTAGTAATCGTTTATTTTGTACTGTGTCTTACACATGGGCTCTTTTATCTGTTCCTCCTAAATGTTCAGTTTAAATACATGGAAACCGAGGTTTAGCATGAGGTGTGTATCAGCTCAGGCTGCTAGACAATGGCCAACATAGCAAATCCCATAGTATAAGATGCACCATGCACTGGGTGGCTCTACACAACACAGGTCTTTGTTTTCAGGGTTCTGGGGGCTTCAAAGTGCAAGATCAAGGTGCTTGATCCACTTCATACCATGGATCTCTTCCTGCCACTAGATGCTTGCTTTCTTGCTGTGTCCCCACATCAGAAGACACCTCTCTGATCTCTGTTCTTACAAGGATATAGCCTGTTAGATCAGAGTTCCAGCCTATTGACCTCAACTGACCTTGATTACGTCATTATCCAATGACAGTCTACATTGCAGGTTAGGGCTTCCACAGGTGCACATAGTGGACATTCCTTAGTGTCTTTTTCTAAACCATCAAAACCAGAATTTGAATCTAGGGAGTCTGGCATAGGAGCAGTGGAGTCATTATCCTTGTTGTATTAGTGGATGGTTAGCAGGTTGGCCATAGTTTCTTGAAGAACTTCCTACCTTTCTGTCCGTGTTCTGGAGTCAGCATTATCTTCTTACCTGCCTCTACTAAGTCTTCCCATGTCCCAGGGTTCACTTCATTCATACTAAGGATAGATTTCTACATATAAACAAAATGCTCCAGGTAAAAGGATTGCTTGCCTTCAGACAATGGAAAGTTAGTTTTGGAGCACATGGCAGGCAATCTTTAAAAGAGATCTGTTCTCACACATAGGTCACACTTAGGGAACACTATAGCCCTTTTGGAATGTCTCTCTCTCTCTCTCCCTTCCCCTCTCCTTCCCTCTCTTTACTTCTTTCTTACTCAGGTTTTTTCCTTGATTCTTTAAGAAATTATTTTTTAATTAATTAAAAATATAATTTATTTCTTATTTTTATTGACAGACATTCCCTTAACAATTTTTGCATATAAGACATGAATATAAACCCAAAGTTAAAAGATGTCTTCTGGTCTTAAGAAAATGAGAGAAAATGATGGATTGACATAGAAATGGTCTTATATGTGTCTAACTATGAGTCACATGTAATATTTAGGTCTTAAAGTAATGATTAAGAAAACGACAGGCCCCTTAAAAGATAGAGTGAGAAAAGAATTTGGAATGTATCCATTTTGTTCCAGGGACATTGAAACACACCTGAGACCTGCATGATGGACAACTTGACCACTGCTATCTTCAGCATCCCCTCCTCACAGTAATGTAGAGGCTGAAGGGGTATGGTAAGCTTACTCACAATTCTCTGAAAGCAAATCCTAGAGGACAAAAAGAAACAACACAGAACTTTTGAAATCTAAACAGCAAGACACCTTTGTAAGCCAACAGTGCCAGAGAAAGTCACATTGAAAGATTAGTACTTTACCACATTGTATCACAACTGACACTTCTGAAGGAGATATGACTTACAATATATAATAACATATTGTATTACAATTGTTACAATATGTAAGGCTAGACACAGGCATTAAGAGTTAGAGCAGAATCATGGAAACTGACCAGTTCACAAACACATAATCAGTGGGTATGACCTGACTGATGAGTTATGGTCAGGGAGCAGACCTGCGTTTGACTGGTATTTATACTCATGGAAAATACAAGTAAGTATACTTATTAAATGATTCATCTTGTTAAATGCATTTCATAGTTCATATAGTGAAAGATGCTTCCTCATTTCTCCAGTTAATCATTAAGGTCTGTAGTCTACAGTCTAAAATCTTTTAACACTGAACTCATAGAATTTTAGTTTACATCTATAAAACTTGGCTTGATTTATTGTTTTGAAATATTAACATACTTACCTAACTGTAAAGTTCCTAGAGGACAAAGGATTGATGTTATCCATTAATTGTTACATGCTTCATAACTTCTCTAATATCCTTTTCTAACACACACACACACACACACACACAGAAGAACACACACACAAAGGCACACACACATTTATAATATGCACTTGCATAGATGCACATACACTATATGAATATTTTTATGATCCATTATTGTTTAGCTACTGAAGTCACTGCCATTCCCTCTTGAATTATACTTCCCTGTCCTCTAAAGGGGTGTGTGTTTGTAAATTCTGACTTGGATTTTATATATTTCGGTGGACACCATTTTGCTCCTATCTTTATCCAGTTCCAATAGTAAGGGTATGAAATGGTAGGGTGTCACCATTTCCTTACTTGGCTCCCTCTTTGGATTAACCCTGAAGACTTTATAATTCACATTGGGCAAGTTCTTCTTGAGCTGAATTCACATGTTCCATTCTAGCTCAAAGCTTTTCAAATTCTTGTAAACTCTGGTAGTGACCTTCCAAATGATTTTTAGACGCATGTTTGACTTCTGTGTTATTTAAAACTTCCCCTTTCTAACTTTTGTTTTGATTCTACCTTCGACTTTCCTACTCTTCTTCTCTGTGAAACCAATTGTCTATAAATGACTCGAATAAAAAAAATTTTAAAAAATCAACTTTTTTCAAGTACCTGTGATAGCACACTGCAACAATGGGCCATCCTGTGCTATCTTAGCTACTTCGTCCCTTCTTGCCTACCCATTCTTTCTCCAGTGCTGCAGCTATGTTCAGTCCCAGATATGACCAACATTCTGCACTATAAATGCTGTCTTTCCCTCCCCATTAGGCCTTCAAATAATAGTGGATAATTTAAGTAAGGGAAGAACAGAATAAAGGAAGCCAGGTGGATGCCAAAGGATCCAAGCAATAGATAGTCTTTTTGATGAATTTAACGAGCTAAGGTGTACTTTGGGGGAGGAACATTACAAGGACTTTATGGAGAACAACATGACAAGCATGTGTGATGCTTCCACACATGTTTGTTCTGTCTACCTTGTGCACTGAGAGCATGGGTAGGAAACAACTGGGAGAACTTGAGCAAGGTTCTTTTTCCTTTCTTTTAAAGAGTGGAAAATTCTGTTCTGAATACACCTAACCACAGAGTATCAAGTTCTAAGTGTTCTATGAGGGGAAAAAAGTAAGCTTATCCCCCCGCCCCATTTTTTTAATTGTAGAAAAGGAGCACAAGCCTCTTTCAGGAGCGCCGGGGAGTGGGAGTAAACTCCTAGATAGGGTTTGTGTAACTGTACCTCAAACCACAGCAGTCACGTGGGTCTTTTATGCTTTGCTACTTTTTTGACTGCGTGTCAGAGAGGGTTGTGCATTTCGCTTCCCCCCTTCTGCAAGGCCACTGCAGCATGTGCTGGCAGGATTAATCTTTGCCCACAATGTCCTTGCAAAGGCTTCTACAGCTACAGAACAGCAATGGCAGCTTGGAGTACAACGTTGATTCTGCATACAGCTCTTACTCCACACTTCCAGGCCCGCTCACAATGGAAGACAGCAGAAGGATTCAAATGCTGGCAGACACTGTGGCTACTTTGCCACGGGGACGAAAGCAGGTATGATTGCCCTTCTGTCTAGAATGTTCATGTTTGTCTGACTACTGCCGAAAGTGGTACTTGCTCCTTCCTGTGTGACTCCATGAATTCCTTGACTCCTGGCCTCTCTCCCCATCATTAATGGGCATTTTGGCTCTTATTCAAAAGAGAACTCTTTTCCCTCTTGAGGACAACCTCTGCCTGCTAAGTCAATTCACAGAGTACATGTGAGGGAGGAGGTGCCATGCACCGAAGAGATAGAGTAGCAGTCCAGAGATGGAAAAAAAAAAAGAACGAGCCCCCCTTTATAGAAAGGAAGACTTAAGTATTTCTTTTTAATTTAAGGATGTGCTCAAGTTGATGAAGCTCTTGAGCACAACAAGCTTGAAGATGGTATAAAGGAACACACCCAGTGCCATCAGGCTTTTGCCCTCCATGTCTCTGTTGACTCTCTGCCTTCTAGTCTCACATCCAGGCGTTGGTAGTCTTACTTGTTCCTAATCATGAGAAGACGTCTCCTGGAACACAAAGGTTGTCAACTAAGTAAAAATTTCAGCTCCAGAGCACTGTCTTAACTTGGGGATGTTGGGAAGTAAGGCTTATGGGGGGAGGTAAATGTTGGCTAGAAACCCAGCTTGGCTGCTCAGTAGCTGCAGCATCTTGAGCAAGTTGTCAGCCTCCTTCACATTATGTTCTTAAAAAAAATCATTTGATGAGGCAACAGCAGAGACACCATTCTTGAACTCTGTGCTCCTTAAGTAAGGACATGTGCAGGGCCGTAGACATGCAGGAAAGGCTGTTTAGAAATTTTTATTGCATAAAGTTTTTTTAGATAGGAACATTTACTTAGAAAAAATCTAGGTCTACATGAATTTGTTCTGAATTTTTGGTCTTTTAATTAATCATATACCCCTGTATATTTTGATCATATAAATTGCTATAAGGTCCAATGTGTATATTTTAGTTACACACAGCAATTGTGCACAAGAAGTTTAGAGTTGACAGAGAGCATCAGAGTATAGCTCCACAGCCCGCATTCTTGTGTGCATTGTGTTCTCCTCTGAATGCTCTAACTTCCGCATTGCAGCATCCCAGCTTAGAGGAGAGGCCAGTTCTTCTTTCAGTGGTATGGTGAACAGATTTTTTGGCATCTTCCTTAGTGATGAAGGTAAAGGCATCATTTCCCATGATTTGATTATCACTCTCTATCCAAAGTGCTCTCACATTCCAAAGTTTGATAAACAGCTGCATGAATTTATAAATGGGCAACATAGGAAACACCAACACTTTTACTTAGAGTCTAGAACAGTCCACTTCCATTTCTATTTGCCATGCAGATGGTAAACTAAGTTTTGCTCGTTTGTTTAGCCTATGATTCACTCTCTTGTTATATTACTTATCAAGAAAGCAACTTGTTAATTTAGCATCAAGAGCGAGATCCTTCCACATCTTTTTTTTCAGCTCAGGTATTACATCATTTTGGACCCTTGCAAGGTTAAAAAAAAAAAGCCACAAGGATGTGTTTCCTTCCTGGAGAAAGATTACAGTTTAGGGACAGAATGAACAGGTGTTATACAGCAGATATGTAACATGTGTCTGCAAACCATCATGCAGTGGAGGCATAGACTCGTGTGACTTGGGGGCAGGTTGCACAGTAACACAGTGCTTGGTGTGTCAGGAAGATATATACAGAGGACAGAGGACAGAGGAGAGACAGACTTGTGCATAAATTGAGAAAGCAGTACAGTTGACTGTTGCTATCTATGGTGGATCTAAAACCATGGAAATCAAAGGTTACAGATGCAGAAATCCCTGATATAAAGTAGCAGCCAATTTGCATATAAACTACCAGGATCCGGGTACTACCTAAGGCATAATATCTTTGGCTGTACGAACATTGTATCATTTGGAGAATGATGGCAGAAAAGAAATATATACACGTACAGTACAGATGCAGCATTTTGTTTCTGTAGAGTATTTTCATCTGCAATTAGTTGCATGAATGAATGCAAAGAGCTGACTATGATTGGACCAGCATCCAGAGACACTGACTAGACTTGAAAGGTTGTGGATTTTAGGAACTTCATTCTAGAAAGTGGCAGGTTGGTGGAAGGGCTTTTACAGTAGTTGGAGAGAGAGAGGAAATGAAGCAATGGAGAGGAAAGGTAAAGACTTGGTAATCAATGGCACTGAAGACCAATGAGGCATATCTGGCTCTTAAGCCTCGGCAAAGGTAGTATGGATTGGGAAAGGACCACCAGTAGGATTGGGTGATTATTGGAGGGAATTATAAGAGAGATTTAGGCATATAAAAAGGTATGAGCATGCCAAATTCCTAGACGAGTAACTTATGTCCATGCTCTTCTCAATTTCTTCTCTTTTTCTTCTTGTATTCTTTATAACACACTGTGCCATGCACTTCCCCTATTCTCAAAGCTTTTTCTGGCCTGGTAGTGGTACACACCTCTAATCCCAGCACCTTAGAGGCTGAGGCTGTTGGATCTCCGAGTTAAGGCCAACCTGGTCTGCAGAGTGAGTTCCAGGTCATCCAGAGCCACACAGAGAAACCCTGTCTCAGAATTTTAAAAAAAATAACAGAACCCTTTTCATAAACCAAACCATTGGAGCATGGTACTGGTGGTTCTAATCACCATCAGTGAAACTTCATGCAGGTGTATATGCCAAGATTTTGTGATTTTCCACATGGACATTTGCTTATTAGTTAATATTAATGAACAATTAACAATCAATTAATAGTTAGCAAACAATCATCATTATTTTTTTCTTAGAAAAACAAACAACGTTAACAAGAGCAAAACCCCACCCCTCTGGCACTGTCTGACCTGTCTGCAGAAGGATTCCTGTTAAGCAATAGTAGCAGCCCCAGCAGGTGTTCCTGTGTCTGCTGTTATTTTCAACACTTTGAGGGCTGACGTCAACATTCATACTTCTTGTTATTGTGGCTTTGGTTTCTGCAAAGCTATATCTGGCTAGCTTCTAGCTTCAGCTTAAGCTTCGGAATCCACAGGGTGTTTGCACTCAGAGTTACTTAAAAATAGATTTCTGTGTGTGCGTATTACTTCAGTACCTGCATTGGTAGGAAGTGCGAGACACACCAGAGATGCTTCTAATTTTGAACATAGTCTTTTGGGGCAAAACCCCTGCAATATAAAAGCCAGAAGGAGGTTGCTGCAAGAGAAGGGAAATCTTGCAAGCATGCCATGTCCCAGGGGTAGAAATTGTACCTGATTGCCACTCTCGCCAAGCTGGATGAAGGTGGCTCTCACCTGGTATGGCAGGGAGAACCAGTAGTCAGGGATACAGGTATGAATTGGACCCAAACTGTCACTGTCCAATTTTCTTTGAGTGGTGAAATTATAGCTAAATATGAAGCTTGTAGAAAGCTGGTTTCACATACAATTTCAGTTAGGGATGGTGCTGAATGCTTGTAGTGAGTATAATTATGGGCTGGGTTCTGCCCACAGGAACATTCTTTATACTTCTGCCAGAATCTCATCAGCCAACATCAATTCTTGCAGTGTTATGCTGGGTCTAATCCCCAACCATTCTTCTTTTAAAAGAGGTGTGGGGCTATAATCAGCCTTCCTGGAAGCTGGAACGTCGTATTCACCTCCCATAAGGGTATCATAAGTTAGGGCGTGGACTCAAGTTTCATTCTTCTGTTGTGTCTTTGGATAGTTTGGTGGTTCTTTCTATCATCTTTCAAAAGATGAGGAGAGTTGTATTCATGAAACAGTTGGGAATAAAAGTGAGACAGGCAGGGAATTGGAAAGAGTCAAGAAAATAATTCAAAACAAATTTTTTTTTAAAGTCCACCTCTAAATCTGCACCGTCCCCTAAACTACACCCAAAACTTTTGCAGAAAATGAGTACACAGAGGACAAGAACACAGGTCTGCCTTAGCAGCAAATGTGCCTTCTGTGTTGGTCTCTGAGTTGCTCTGAGGAGGGATCAGCATCAAGCTGTGTTTCCAATTTCCTGTCTTCCTTGCACACTGACAGCTGCTGTGTTTGGTCTTGATTTTCCACCAAAGAGAGACCTGCGAATCACTGCATAGCGGGAGACATTGTGTGTAGAATATTAATGCTTTGTCTTTTAAGTCATCCCCCTGAAAGCAGAGGAACCTTTCTAAGATCAGCCCTAGACATCACTAGACTCCTGGCTAGTAAGAAGCTAAGGAGCTTCGTTTGCTGTACTTAGAGCTAAATGTGTATCTTTCAAGCCTGCCAAATCGCTAAGGCTAGACTTCTCATATTAGATAATGTGTAATAAAAGACAGCTGTTGCCAGCATATGCTGTGAATTGCACACCAGTTCTCCATTCATGATCTCTCTCTCTCTCTCTCTCTCTCTCTCTCTCTGTGTGTGTGTGTGTGTGTGTGTGTGTGCCCCATCACTACAACTCAGAAAGACTCTGGCTGTGAGGGCAGTCTGTCTGGGTAACACCTACTCTGAGGCCACATCTTCAAATGGGACTGATGCCTGCTAGGGAGATGCACACAGAGAAAACTTGACTTAGAAGACTCTTGATGAGGCCTTAGGCGCACTCCAAGTTGACAGGCAGTTTTGCAGGTGAGCAAGGCAGAGCCTTAAGAGTTTCTTTTTATGTCACCACTTAGACAGTTCAGATCAAAACCAGGGAGACAGTGTCAAGATGGGACTGGCAACTATCAGAGAGTTTGATGGTAGCTAAAGTATTTAAATCCCTTTGTATTTACATGTTCACTGTTTAAGATCTCTTTACCAGTCCAGAAAGAAAGTAATTTCTAAGCTGATTTTGTCTGATCTTTTTGTGTCACTGGTAACCCAAACATATTATCCGTGGGAGTGTTCCTCATTACTTCTTAGCCAGCAAGCTACACAGAACTGTTACAAGGAGGGAGGTGAGGAACACTCTCTTCTGTATGGAGAAGTCTGGTCTAGTTGGTGGACCTAAAAGATTTTGGATTTGAATATATCTAAAATAACCTGTCACTTAAAAGGCAGGCTGAGGAAATCCTAAGGTCCCTATCAATTCTATGGATACAGGGCTTAGATTGGGGGATTTAACATTGTGGTAGCAAGACATTTTATGAACCCTTGCCTTCTGGTTAATTCTTTAGGACTGATTAATTCTTATAAATATTTGTTTACTTAGCATTAGATAGTAAGATGCCACTATTTTACTTTGTTTCTCTTGGCTCTCTTTCTACTACTTGATGGTTTTTTTTAAAAAAAAATCTTGATGTTTGAGATTTTAATTTTTAAATTTTTAAAATTAATCTTTGAAGCTTTCCCATGAAGCTTTAACCTAATGAAGGATAAACTTAAAATCTTAGCACATCCGACTGAACTTAAATATTTTTCTTGGGGTTGCTCACCATCCATCATTCAGTCACAGATGGCATCTGAGGCTTAGTTCTGTCTGTCTGTTTTACTATTTTTAAAGTTCCAGTCTACTCTAGGCCTTGTGGGAAGCACTGGGGCGGAAAGTAAAGCCAGTGCATTTCCCTAGAGTCCCAAAGCATACAGATGATTAACTGAAGAAATGAAGCATATGATCAAAAGTGCTCCTCATAGAGATGTGGACATATATAAACCTCCATGTGGATGGCAATGCTAGGGAAATGATAAACCATAGTAGTGAGAACAATGTGTTACAAACACAAACCCTTAATTGTGATTATAGTTAACAGAATTAAACTAAGTATTCGACAGTCTGAATGAAGGATGAGATCCAAGGAGACGACAATAATGAAAAGAGATCAAGGAAATATGAACACACTGTAAGGGTGAAGTGCTTGTGAATATCACGTTTTTTACCCCATTCACTGGGTTGCAGCTTCTGATGTAACCAAAATGTTCCCATTCTTGTTCATCTCAACCTCTCTCTCTGTTTCTCTCTCTCTCTCTCTTTCTCTCTCTCTGTGTGTGTGTGTGCGTGCGCACAAGGGTATACACATCTATGTTAAATACTTTATACACAACCATCCAAATTGCTGTAGGTATTCCATAACTGGTCCTTATAAATCATGATTAGAAACTTATTGCAAGCCTACTGGATAATTTGGGGTCTGAGACTTCCTGCTGGAGACTCCAGGTATAATTGACAAAGAAGACAATGTAATTGTTACCCATAAAGTTTGTGGGATGACATAATCTCTCTCTTATATATAGTGACTGGTGGCTGAATTCTGAACACTGAGGCATTCCAGAAAATTTGCAAAATTGTTGGCATTTGGTACCTGACAATTTGAATTTATGCTAATGAAATCATCTGTGGAACTTGTCCTGTATGCAATAAGTTCTCCTATGCATTTTCTCTGTGTGGTTTTTATCCTCATACCATTTTTATTTATCTATATCAACTGCCTTATTTACTGTTTTATCTATTTGCTTATGAATGACAATTACAATATGTTGGCAGGTAAATGCCGTGTTCTATAGGCTGAGAGATGGCTCAGCAGTAAGAGCATGTGCTGCCCTGGCAGAGGACCTCCATTCAATTTCTGGTACTCTCATGGAAGGCAGTCATTAATTCTGCTTCCAAGGATCTGGTGGCTCCTTCTGACCTGCACAAACACCAGTCATGCTTAGTATCCATACATGTGTTCAGGCAAAACATTTATACATATAAAATAAAAATAAATCTTTTAAACAATATTATGGCTTAATTTGGTGAATAATGTTATGTTTTGAATACCTAAAACAATTTTTAAGAACAGACTAGTTAATAATTAACATCTTCTAAATATTTCTTAAACAAATGAAACCAAAACTAAAACTGGTCATAGTCTCTTGAAACGAAGGTCTTCCCTTTTGCTGACTCTCTCTCTTTATAAGAATTTGGGTCTGCTCCAGAAGATTATGCTTATATTACTTTTCCCAAAACGTGTAGGGGAGTGAATGTGATGTTGTTTATAGAATTATGAGGTTTCTTTGCTTCTTGGCAGGAAATCTCACTACATTCTTCCAAAACTATTATGAAAATAAATCACAATCAGAAGTGGGGGTTTGAGTCTCTCCCTCATTTTTTTTCTGAATCTATTTCTTATTTTCTATCCTAATTATATGTGTGGGTGGTAGGGGGCAAACCTGGAAAGACTCTCTCTCTCTCTCTCTCTCTCTCTCTCTCTCTCTCTCTCTCTGTGTGTGTGTATATGTGTAATGCTATGCATGAGGGGGTCAGAAGACAAATTGCAGGAGTTGGTTCTCCCTTCCCATCAATCGAACCTATGTGATGAAGCCTGTGAGTATCTCTACACACTAATCCATCTTGCCAGTGCCATATTTCTGCATGTAGCACATTCTTTGTAGATTATAATGGCCTCGTAAAAGAAAAAAAGTAACATGTTAAACTGTTATAGTAAATATAAGCATTCCATTAGCAGCTAAAGAAAATATGGACTGTGTGGTTTTCATGCCATCCTACGGTTAGGTGGTTTCAATATGGCTGCAATTTGCTGAAGTTCATTTTGAGAGGTCAACATAAACATGGGTTAGACAGAAAACAGTTATTGGAAGCTTGGAGCTCTGCTACAGAGAGTGAACATTCTCTTTGCCCAGTACCTTATTATCTGAGCTTCTCCTCATCTCAACAGAACATCTGGGAGTCCCTTTTCTCCCAGACTCTTTTGCTGTTATGAGAGAACGAACATTACTAATCTTATCTAGTAAGATTTCCAGGATGATGATGAAGAAAAAAGTCCTTTGTGACCCAGAATAGTTGTAAATGCATCTTAAAGAACTTGAGATAACCCTGTGCTGTTTGTGTTTTTCAGCTTGCTTTGGCCAGATCGAGTTCTCTAGGTGACTTTTCCTGTTCTCAAAGGTAAGGAGATTCCTTCCTTCCTCCCTTCCTTTCTTCCTTCTGTTTCTTTTCTTTTTTATTAAGCCTCTTCCTAAGATGTTTAGGGGCGTAAATGCTCCAGTATGTGTGCATGTCCACAAACATGAACATGCACACTCATGCATGTAAACACACAAGAATGCATATATACACCCCTAACTACAATTACAGAAATGAAAGCTAGTTTTCATTGTAACAGTAATTGTTCATGCTAAATACATGCCAAATATGATACTTGGTTATTTATGCAGTCTAAACTTTTTTTCTTACAGAAAGCTTGTTACTGTGGAAAAGCAAGACAATGGAGCTTTTGGATTTGAAATTCAGGTGGGCAGTTTGTAACCATTCTAGATTTCCAAGGAAGAATCAGACACTAATTACATCACATATTTGAAAAGAGCAAAGAGGCTAGAATAGGGTGAGAATGAAGATGTGTGTGGGGGGTTTTCAGTATGTTAAGACAACATTGGGCCTTCTGTTCCTATAGATTCTCTTCACTCCTTGTACCAAGGCACTGCAGTCTTCAGGATATCCCAGACACAGATGTTGGATGTTTCAGGACCTTAAAGAAGAAAACAAACGACATTTTACACAAGTTTATTTTTATACAATCATATTCGTGTACTGTATGCACATCACATTCTAAATACTTAAGCTGGGCATGGTGGTTCGTGGCTTTAAGCCCAGCACATGGGACACAGAGGCAGAAAAGGAATTCCAGTCTAGCCTGGGCTACATTATGAGAACCTGTTTCAAAAAATAACAAGGAATACTTGGGAGATGACATATTTGTGTATATAAAATTCATAACAGAGACCAAACATTTCTTATTGGGTATAATAAGAAGTTTCTACTTCCCTCTACACACTGATAATAAGATAATAGCACTTTATTACTAGAAAACCACTGCTGGAAGATTTTGCCCATCTTCATAGGTTTCAATGTGGGTATCCAAAAATTTAATCTATTTGTTGCCTGTCTTTTCATGATTATATTTTATGGCGAATTGAGTCAAATAGATTGCAGTCTAATTGAGTGCCTCGGTAGTAGCAACTTAAGTCTGCATTTTCCCACATCATTTCTGCATTTCTTTTCCATGTGCTTTGCATAATCATATTTTTATGCTATATGTCAGATTTTAGATCTTAGCTCCAATGAGTGCTGCTTTCAGAAAACTTTGGTATGATGTCAACCCCATAAAAGGAAACTTAGTGTATATTTTAGGAGCAGGAGCAGGAGCAGGAAGCTGCTACGTTAAACATGTTTTATGAGTAAAGAAACAACATGGAGTGAACAAGGAAGTCGTGGGAGAAGATGTTTCTGCTTTCTGAGCTCCCTACTTTAAATTTTACCCCATACATAATTTTCTACAAAAATGGGCTAAATCTATAAGGTTTTAGAAGTTAATGCCCCTCACACAAGCATTTGCCTTTCTCTTAAGAAGTCCTGCATGAGATACTCCATGTCTATCACTGCCTCTTCAAGGTTGCCTAGAGGTAGCAACTAGAAACAGGGACCTGAGTGCCTACCCATCTTGTTTTCCCACTCTGGTTCCCTTCAGTTTCTCTTGTCACAAGTGTGTGTGTGTAGAAACATTTCTTGAAGGAGCTGAGTGTAGTGTGGTCCAGAGCAGGAAACTCTCAAAAAGGTGGGACTTGTATTACAGGCCACTTAAAGCTGCTCTTCTTTTCAAATAGAGGATTCTAAGTGCATTATAGTTGAATGAAAATCTCTTAGCATTTAACAGAGTCAAGTGGCTAGCTCTGAAAGTGATCTGCATGTGACTGATTATGGTGTCTCAGGCATGAATTTCTCTAGAAGGAAGAAATACTCTCATGTGGCTTAATTTGTAGTAATCAGATCTCTTAAAGACAACTCAAAACACCGATTTTGGCTCTAAATGGAATCCCACCCCCACAATTCAAATGTATTAAATAGGAAATCATGCTTGCTTGAAGTTACGGGAGTGCCATGGGTAGCAAATGTTTCCTTAGTATTTTTATACATTTTGAAGCAAAAACTAAAATTATCAACAATAGAACTCAGTACCACTAAACTATTTATGTTAAACCTGGGGAGGCATGTCTCTTTTCATTTAGTTGGATGACTGAGGAACTGCTGAGAATTCAGCACAGGAGGGGTCTTGTGTACTCAAAAATGAAATTGATCAAATCAATTAGACCACTTATAACAAACACAGGGCAGATTGTCATTATTTGCAGAACTGATTTAATATAGCCAGTGTTGGCCCGTCTTCCTGATGGATATTTTGTGTCTCATACTCTCCCCTAATGTCAGCTTTAGTCTGTAAGACCCACAAAGATCTTTTGCTTTGAAAATGGTTACCATTGTTTATCATGTTGAGAAACAAGAAGCATATTTTTTTCTTAATGAATACACAGTGATACATCCAGTGGTCTCTTGGGCTGAAAACAGACCATTTTGAGACACTTGCATCCCACTTTGTTTTTTATGCCAGATGTTTTTTATGAATGGAATTGGCTGCCCTTCATCTGTTGGAATTACAAAATTGGTACCTTCAGTTCAGTGTACATCAAGGAAAGCTTTGCCACAATTATCTTTTGCACTTACCTATTGTGCCACTTAATGCTGCTGGCATGAATTTATGTTTTGACAAATATTTGTTGACTTTTTTGAAAAGTTACTGTGTTATCCACTTAAATTTTATAGACCTACAGACTCCAGAACCAGAACATCTGTTCCTCGGAAGTATGCACCGTGATCTGCAAAGTACAGGAAGAGAGCCCAGCTCACTGTGCTGGCCTGCAAGCTGGTAATGTAGTTCTACTCATGGGTTAAGGAAGCAGTTGTTGCTTTGAATTTTCTCAAGTGGCACTGTGGTTGAAACTTGCTTGTTTGTGGTCATTTCCATGACAGGAGGCTTTGTTTAAGTAACTAACAAAATCCTTGTTTTTCTTGGCATCTCCCAGGTGACATCCTTGCAAATATCAATGGTGTGAGCACAGAAGGCTTTACCCACAAACAAGTGGTTGACCTGATCCGATCATCAGGAAACCTGCTAACGTAAATACCCACTTAGTTGCTATGGGATTTCAAAGATGTTTTGGGATGCGCAAGACAGCTTTATGGGCTCCTTTTGTTTCTCTAGGTATCATGCATCATAAATGTAGTGCCAACATCTGAAGTCAGGGCATGTTACTAGACAAAGGTGCTTTGTAGAAGGGACATCATTTACTAATGTATTTTTCATATGTGATTCAAGAAAACTGGCATACATTTCTTTGGACCAAGAGAAATTGGTTCTGTTTCCAAGGTTCATGTAATCTTTCAGCTCTAACACTTTTTTTTCTCTCTCGCTCATATTTCTGAAGCCTCTTGTTTTTCCTCTGTTACTGTTCCATAAAGAATAATGAAAAAAAGTTTCCTTAGCCTATCTAACCTTGGAATATACATAGTAACATGTACTAATGTTCAACTTATCAAAATGGCACTGGTCTTCCCAGCTGCTCAGTAGGACTAATTTAAATTAATCTCAAATTGATCTAAAAAACTGAAGGTGATATACCTACAGGGACACCTATTGTTATCGACAACATCATAACTGTCTGAGAAAATAGACAGCATTGAGCTTTTGTTCCCCCCAGACAGAATTTCTCTTTATTACTTTGGAGGTTGTCCTCGAACTAGATCTATAGACCAGGCTGGCCTCAAACTCACAGAGATCTGCTTGTCTCTGCCTCCCAAGTGCTGGGATTAAAGGCATGTGTCACCAATGTCTGGCTTTTGTGTATGTTCTAAAGAAGCAAAAATAATGAAGAACTCTAAAAATTGTAGATTTCTAAGGAAAGCCTGAAATTTTAACATTGAAGTTATTGGTAACCATTATAAGAAAGGAGAATAATGCAGCAGGGGATAACACTGAATAAGAAGGGGGTCAAGAGAGATTCAGAGCTCAAAGTGCTCCACTCTAGGGATGCACAATTAGAGCTGAGATTAAACAGAGGGAAGTAATGGCCATATGAACTCCTGGCAGGAACATGTTGGTAAAGAACTATGTCTTTGAGCCCTGGAAATAGATTTGGCATATATACCCTGAGGACAAGTGAAATTGGTGACTGGTGGGTTAGAGAGAAAGTATGAGTGATGAAGCCACTGTTGGCCAAGCATCAAATCTTGAGATGCATTGCTGTGCCAGGGAGTTTAGAATTTATTCTGAGTTACGTAGTTTCAACATTTCCTAATTCATTTTTCCATAGCATCTTTTTCAGCCTGGGTTTATTCCTTTATGTACAGGAATTGCCTGAGGTAAAGAGGGGTCAGTTAAGTTTAGTTGAGTAGTGGGTGACAATAGGATCTAACCTGCATGGATGTCAGAATTTGCTTCTGCCAGTTAAAGCTGTTCATCATGAGCTACCTGTAGACTCTACTAGATTCTTCACTGATGCTTCAAAGGAAGTTTTGGATGGGTGTGTCCAGGCAGTTTTAAAAGATGACTGATGATGCTAGAGTTGAACCCCACCCTCTGAGTTTTAGTTCTTAAGGGTAAAAGTTGAAAAACCTCTTGCCTCAAAGAAACCTAGAACCAGATAGATAAAATGCTATTGGTTAGAGTCAGAAAGATATGTGCCACATAGATGACGAAAGAAGACCACAAATAAAGAAAATTAGAGATGGTTCTTAGAACCAGACAGATTGGTAAAATGTGAGGTTACATGAACACATACTGAAGGAAGGGCCCATCTCTACACTTGTGCACATTCATTGCTCAGATAGGTTAGAATGACACTGAGAGTCTCATGCAGCTTTATGATGATTCTATTGTCCACAAAGCAGAGATTGTCTCAAGTAGAAATCAGTGTTTGTACTACCATCTTATTGTGTTGGGTCTGACGCTGGAAGAAGAGAGGAAAGGTAGTTCACATATAGTGCTCTTACCACATCTTTAAGTTTTTCTCATACTTCCATGATATAATTACAATTTAGTATGCAAAGGGGATTAGAACAAATACTTTAAAATGCTTAAGAGTATGATTCAAAGGTGAAATTAGCTACTGTATTTAGACCAAGGATTTTGTAGCCAAAACAATGGTGAAAACAAACCAGCTTCAGGAAGAACAAGGTTCCTGTTTTTAGGAAATCTTTGATGTAGGAAGAGAAGAACATCATTAAACTGATAATTGTAGGATAGACATTTGTAAACTAACGGTATTGAGATTAACTAGCCATATGAGGTTACAGGAAAATTTCCCTGTTTCAACACTTCGAGTCCCCTGTAGTGAGAGTGCTGAATACCATTTTTGTTGACATACTCTTTGGCTTATAGTAGGTGCCCAATGAATATTCACCAAATGACTGAGATTATTCAGCCCGTCCAGGCTAGAATAGAATCGGGTGGAGAGCAACCACCATTAGCACATAGTGCCTTCTAGAAAATAAACTATGGTCTGTAAATTAGTCAGGATCTTTCCCTCTACTCTTTGTCAGACAGCTTTTCATCTCCCTTTCTCTCTCCCAATGTTATTGGGAATTTGGCTTAGATCCATACACTCAAGTATCCATACTCCATTGTGGAGAGCCTTAGACAAGGTGACACTTAGGTTGCACTTCTAGTACAGTCTGCCCTTTGCATGCAGTGGATGGAACCTCTTGGAAGGCATAGCTGTGCTATTTACCCCCACCTTTCCCTTTTCTTCAAACAGGATAGAAACTCTTAATGGAACAATGATTCACAGAAGAGCAGAGCTTGAAGCAAAGCTGCAGGCTTTAAAGGTAATTTGATTTAACACAGCATATTATTTCTCATCCTTGAATGTGTGAGGAGTAGAATAATGACTTATCTTAGGAACTGAGGTAGCCCTTGAAGGGGAAATGTCAGGATGCATCTAAACTGCTGACTTGTCAAGGGCCACACAATTACTTTTGCAGGAATATCTAGGACTGTGAATATGTGTAAATCACCCTCTTCCTTCCTCATTCAGAGTCTATGAGGCTCAGAAAGCCAGCGGGAGGGAAGGCATCTTCCCTGAAGAAGGATTCAATGATGCACCTGTGATCACTCTGGATTTACATTTTGTTAAAGGAGGAAAAAAGAGTAGGAGCACTGAGTGCTGCAAAATGCTGTCAGGCCCATCACTTTTGCTTTCCCAATGTCCTTTTCCTTTGTTCATTCCACACCTCTCAGAAAATGGACTATCTTCCACCAACCCTGTGGCTGTCCACTTGCAAACACACTACCACCTTGGAAGGAAAAAAAAAGTGTCAGGTAACAGAGACTATGCAGGATGCTCAATGCAAATTCCCTAGCATGGCTCTTGAAAGATTTTCAAATTCTCAGTTCTCTTTGTTGGTGAGCCTTCCAAGTTATGAACTCCAGACACTCATAGAGTGAGTCAAAGATGCTCCTGACTCCTCCCAGGTCCCAGCTGGCTACCTCATCCTAGTACTACCCCTTGTAGGACAAAGGAGCCAGTCTACACTTGGTTGGCTTGGCTATAACCAAACTACTTACTTCTACTTTGTAAAAATCTGCATTCACTAGTTTTTCTCATGAAGTAATACACTTATTAACTGTAGATTTCAAGGAGACTGTATTTATATTTTATCTAGAATCTTTCCTTTGCACCATGATAATTCACTAGCAAATTTCATTAATATTGGTTTTGACACTCTTGCAGTAGTGTCCATCCCCATGAATTTTAAAATCAATTTAAAAAATCATTGAGAATACTCTCTGCTCAGATTTTGATAGGATTTAAATTTTAGGATAGAATATGTGAGGACAATTGAAATCTTTATGGCTTTCATAATTTCACTTTGAATATAAGTTTTCCCATTTTTATTTCATACTTAATCTGCTCCAGAATAAATGTATTCTCTAGCTAATAAAAGATAATCCTTTGAAGTTTCATATCTTTAGTTCAATTATTCAATTAATTTACTTTTCTTCTCATATAGCATTGGCTAGGATTGTCAATATATTGTAAATTATGTATTATTTATTCTTCACTTTAAAGAACTGCTTCTATCTTTTTTATTGCATGTTTATGAGAGGTAGTAAGTGCTTTATACTATTTTTAGGTGTGTTACACTTCCAAAATTTGGTTTGTTTTTGTAAACAGAAAAATAATCTTGTTGAACATCTTCTTTCAAATGTTCTCACTTTCTTGTTTTAGAAAAGTGTTTATAAAAAATAGACTAGTGATTTTATCTTTTATCACATGACATAATGCATTCATATTTCTTGGAATTCAGTGCTTACTTAAGTAAAGCATTACTTAATGTTTTTCATCAATTTATACTCTTTGAACATAATTTTAACAAAATTTCTATAATTTTAACATATGTAATTAACTAGTTTTATCTACCAGTGTGCAAGCCTTTTAGTATCTCTGTTCTTTTCTAGAATATAAGTAGGTCCTTAATATACTTTGAATGTCTACTTAAGTACCCATCTTCCTGTTATTTACTTTAGAGCATTTCATCAATTATCATAATGTGAGGTTTTATTATGAATAACTTGAAGTGAAAACATATACTAATGTGTCTCACTGGTGAGCTTTCATTGCTCCTTCATTTTACACTTATCTTGCGTATTGTTTCATTAAATGATGACCATTTGATCTTTCTGGAAATGTTCTTATATTTTTCTGCTACTCTTGAAGAACTGGTTTCTAGGTAATTGAAAGTATTCTAGGTTAACTAGGTTAATAAGGTCTATGTTTTGTTTCCTTAGTTCTTTAAAAACCTATAAAATGTTTATAAATGAGCTCCTAACCCAAATATTGATCAGTTGTCAGTAATCTACATTAATTTTTTTCTTTTTCATATTTCAGTCTTTAATTTATCCAGAAATTATTATTTGTACATACTACAAAGTATGTGATAATTTGATTTTTTCCATATGTACAGGAAGTTCTCCCAATATAATTTATTTTATATTGTGCTTTTTTCCTCAACTGAATTGCTGTAGAACTTTTATTTTAAAATAATTTTCATGTAAGTCCATATTTACTCATAAGTTCTCCACTGTGGTCCACTCTAGAGAAAGCATTTCATTGGATGTACTGTCTTTACTACTTTGCATATTCCTTTGTGAAATTCTATTAGAAATATGTTAGGGTCTTTTGATTTGTCTTCCTTAACAATGACATAAGTAGAATGTTTTTCTAACTAGCACAGTGCTCAGATTGTAAGGCTTTACTGTGTTCCTGTCTTCCAAGACACCAGACTCCAGCTGCTAGCAGCTTTTGTCAGCCTCCTCTCCTTTTTTTTTTTTTTTTTTTTTTTTTTTTTTTTTTTTTTTTTTTTTGTTTTGTTTTTGGTTTTTGGTTTTTTGTTTGTTTTGTTTTTTGTTTTGTTTGATTGATGTTTATTTGGAGAGAAATCACTTACACCAGAAACCTGACCAGAAACCTGACCACTGCAGGTTCCTGTCCCAAGGATGACTTTGGATGCTCTCTGTCTCCGACCAGGAAATAAGAGAGCCAGCTGGGGTCTAGGACCCCAGACCTAGTCCCCCAGGTCACGCCCGACCATCCCCATGACCCAATGGGCGTGGTCAGTGCAACCAGTGTGTGGGCAGGATAGATATCTCACTACAATTCTCCTTTTAATCTAAAGAAAATATTTAAGCTTGATATAAAATTATATACAAAGACAGTAAATATCAAGTGTGCTCTAGCAAAAGGAAAATTAAGAATATACAAACTTAACACCCATTGCCAGTGAGGTAACAAGAACAAATGGCAAGAACTACATATCCATTTTTGTAGTACCTAATACTCAGCCAGGGGTCACTTGTCAAGAAAATTTGGCTGAGTTCCTTGTGTGAAATAGACACATTGAAATCACATATTACCGCAGGATCTAAATTCCTAGCTAACTCTTGATGCTCCTGGTTGATATATGTTGAAGTTCATTTCTGTTTAGCATCTTGCATTTATGTCTCTCATTCAATCTTAAAATTATGAGACATGTAGTTAATCCCTCAAGGCAGAGATGACTGGGTCTGACCTATAACTGAAGTCAGTCTGGCTTTCCCTCTGCACAATGACATTTATTTTACATCCTATATACGTGACCATTCAGTTTGCAAAGTCTGGGTAGATCCCCAATCTCTTCCCTGGAAGAAGTTGTCCTTTCTGAGTAACATTTTAAGGGATTTCCTTTATCTTAACCTATGCTTCAGATGCTTAGTACAAATAGAGAACTAGTTAAAAGACCTAGTTTTAAATATATCTCTGTTACCTACTAGTTCTATTATATACCTAGAAAAATATTTTGCTTCAGTGAAAATTTGTTTTTCATCCTACAACAAAATTATGAAATTAAATGGCACATAATTTGTAAGAGCACAATGAAAAGATTATACAAGATATACAAGCTGTTCTCTTGTATATTCATTCAATAATATTCATCCATTCCTTCAGCTGCCATGTATGAGTCCAGTGACACAAGATGGTATCATATGGCCCGATTCAAATATGCTTTAACACTCATCTGATATAGAAAATTTAGATTTGACTGAATATATGATTGTGATGGCAGTAATAAAGAGAGAAATAACCCTGAGGATAATAGACAACAGTCACTCTGTCACTTCTTTTCTTTCACTTCCTCTTCTTTTTATTTATTTATTTATTTATTTATTTATTTATTTATTTATTTTTGAGACAGGGTTTCTCTGTGTAGCTTTGAAGCCTATTCTGGCACATGCTCTGTAGACCAGGCTAGCCTCAAACTCACAGAGATCCACCTGCCTTTGCGTCCTGAGTACTGGGATTAAAGGCGTGTGCCACCAATGGCAGGCTGCTGTCTCTCTTTTTTATATTGGTGTTTCCTTGGTGTAAGTCATGGCACATTAAGATGACTAGGTTAGACCAGCACACCAGCAATTTTTAGAACCTTCTTTCACAAATATGAGCAATTTGGAAAGCTCTGTACATGTACTTTTGAAATCAGGAAGGCATTTTTGTCTTTGTGTCTTTAGATTTGACCAACAACCCATTCTGTTCCTCTCCTCTGCTCTATTCTCTTGTAGGAGACAAATATCTTTAGCAAGGAAGACATGTGTAGATACACATGGTAGCTCTGACCTGTCTTGTGTTCCTCAAGCCTCTGATTCTGGTCTTTACATAGCTACAGACTTATAAGATGACAAGCACAGTGACTGATGCAGCTAGTTCTCCTATGACTGCTAGGGAATGATATCACAGTTCATAAAGAAAACAAATGAACCAAGCTAAGCAATTTTGTTGCTTTTGCTTTTGTAATTTGATAGCAGCTTCAGGTGCTGCTGTGAGCCAAACTAAGTGTTCTACAGACCGAGGAATGGCTCTATGTAATCATTTAATGATGTTTTTGAGATTTTATTTTCTTCTCTTTGTCATATTCCCTTTCAAATGTACATTAAAAAAATCTTTCTATTTTAATTATCATTTACTCCCTCCAGGTGGTGGTATACAAAGTACTTTTCCAACTAGGCCATCTTTCTTATGAATAAATGTCCTTGGCAAGTCTGAGCTCAGCCCACATGCTGGCCTTACCATGGGGACCTAAAATAGCAAAGGCAGAGGTAAAGGAGGGGGCACGAAACAGGAAGAAGAGTGAGCATGTTACACCTGCCTTTCCAGATGGCTTCTTCCCAGTTGGCTCTGACCTCCATTGACTTGGCCAGGCTTTCCGTGCTTGCCTTCTCGTTCTTATGATGGCCACTGTTTTCATTTGTCATGGCAGCCAAGAGAAGAATTGTGAAGTCAGGTTATGGTCGGGGGATACAGCTCAGTTGGTAGAGTGCTTGCTTAGCATGCATCATGCCTTGGGATTGCTCTGTAGGGTCTCATAAATGACATGGTAGAACATGTACTTGGAAATTGAAAGTAGGAGAATCCAAAGTTCAATATCACCTTCAATTACACAGTAAGATCAGGATTCAAGGTTAACCCGGGCTACATGAGATGATGTCTCAAAACAAACAACAAAGTCAGGTTACTTAAGTGTGTTCTAGGTAGATGTTCAATAAAAGGCTTGTTTCAAGCCCAGACTCATTGATTGATGATGATAATTGCTAAGCATTTACAAACCTTTAGTTGCTGTTTCAAAATTTTCATCTGTTAACTCTTTGGTATCTATTCCACATCATCAGTATCATTCATGTGGAAACAGCTAAAACACTCTTTCAAACATAAGCAATCTGGGCCCTACATTTTTTTAAATAAGACTACACAAGCTTCATTGGTTTTCTTGTTTGTGAAGAGAAGATTTGTTGGCCCTTGAGAAATCAGTATTTCTAATATCCTCTGTAATTCGGCAGAAGTCTTTGAAGAATGGGAGTGGCTGGCTATGTTGCCTCTTTCCTCTGCCTGACCTGGTTGGGATTTCCTAAGACTCAGACCTCCCCACTTCTTTCTCACAGCAAACCTTGAAGAAAAAATGGGTGGAGTTCAGATCTCTGCACTTACAGGAACAGCGCCTGCTGTATGGTAAGCTCAGTTTCCTGTCAGGAAACCACATTCTCATCGCACCCTCTCAGTATTTCTGCCTCCAAATATTTTAAGATGATCACTATTTCAGTAAAAGTCTAGTTAGCATTGATGAAGGACATTAGTCTGTGTTTTACTAGAATAAACACTGTGTGACCTGTGTGTTTGGAGGAGGGTGAGTCAAGCTACACTCCCTTATCCACAAACAGTGCATATGCATATGAAAACATGTATGGACATAGGAATGCACACACTTGCCATAGGTGAGCAACAATTAGAGAAGAGCTGAAGGTAACATTGCCTGATATTTCTATCTACCAACCCAGACAATGAATTAGATTCTTGGAAATGATCCTGTTTGAGGCTGTTCAAACTGGCATGACTGCATCCTGTATAGGTAGAGTGCAAACCAGTTTTCAAATTATATTGTTTACATTTATGTAGAGAATCTCAGGACCAAGACAAACATATAAGCATATTAGATTTTGAAGAGGGGCTTGCTGTCTATACATTTTGAAGCCAGGAGTTGAATCTGGTCAGTTGGCTTGTTCTTTGCTGTGTTACTTGAGGAAGTGAATTTCTCTTTTGGGAGGTTGGTTGAGGCAGTTCCTGCTGTATAGCCCTACATAGCCTGGTGATTACTATGCAGTCTAAGCTAGGATCCTCAAGCTTCCATCTCTCAAGCACTGAAATTCCAGGCATGCACCTTCTTAGATAGCAGGAAGGAAGTCCATGTACAAAAAATGTGCTGATATCTCTAGCTGTGTGGGCTGGAATGTAGGTCATCTCTTCTTTAGGTAACACTCTGCTATAACCTCTATTTAGCCACCTGAAATATTTGTTCAAATAGTAACTACTTTGCAGGAGAAGCTACCATATAAAAATCATCCAAAACTGAGTCATAAAACCATACAGACTATATCTGGTCATGAATATCATGTGATATGTCATGATGTGATATGGATATTTGTGATGTTTAAGTCAAGATAAACTAACTAGCTCCTCAGACATTTATTCTTTTAGTTTTTGGTGGTAATAGCTCTTAAAATATCTTCCTTCTAGCTTTGGAAGTTTATTGTAGATTCTTGTAGTTACCGTACTAGGTGAAGCACACTGCAGGTCTGAGCTTTATCTACTTGTAACTAGTGCCTACGGGTCAGGGTTTCCGTTAACTTCTACCCTCTTTATCTCCCTGCCCAGCCTCTGGTAACCACCATTCCACTCTCAACAACTCTTAGACCAGCAAACATTTTCAGGTAGTTCACGAAATGAGATCATTTCATATTTCCGTTTTTGTACTTGGGCTTCTTCACTTGACACATCAATCTCCAAGCCCATACTAGCACAAATAAAGAAATTTCTTCATTTTTTTCATGAATAAATGGCATTCCACTATGCATGTAGTGTATTTTCACACTCCATTTCTCAGCTGACTGGTATCTTTGTAGCATACTGTGGCTTCTGTGAACAGTGAAAATCTGAGCTCATATGAAATTGCAGGTTTTGTGGATACAGTTCTTCTGATTTCTCTAGAAATACATACATGCACTAGTAACATTACTGGATGATATGACAGATGTGTATGTGTGTGTGTTTCTGTGTGTGTGCTCACGTGTGTGTGGGCATGCGCGTAGCCTCTCATACTATTCCCCATGGTAGATGAAATGTGGGAAAGCTTTTTTTTCCTACATATTCACTGTTAATTTTGATCTTGTGTCCTTTTGGTATAGCATTCTTACAGGGGAGGTAATTGTGGTTTTATTTGTGCTTACCTGTTAATTGATGACACCAGGCATTTTTCACACATCTGTTGGCCAATTTGATGTATCCTTTTAATAGTTATCTAGCCATGTATATTCTACTTTGTATATATTATTTTTCTGTTTTCTGGACTTCATTATAAACCTTCAGACATCATTTAGACATTGACAACAGTGTAGAGATATAATTCACATTTTTTACTAGACACGTTTGAAACTTGCATGAGTTACTTCTCTTTATAAAATTATTTATTTACACCATCTGGGTGTGTTTGTGCTCATACATATGTTTTGTGCCACAGAGTGTATATGTGGAGGTCAGGGAACAACTTGCAGGAGTCCGTTCTCTCCTTCTACTCTTCTACTAACCATATGGGTCCCAGGGAGGGACCTCAGGTTATCAGGTTGGTCTACTTACCTTTCTATGAATTTCAGTTAACTTTTATTGTTGTCATTTTGAGAGAGGGTTTGCTATGGTGAAAGCCTCTTTCCTCACTTTCTGATGCTAGCTCACATTACAGGAATGCATCATCATGCCCAGGTCTATCATACTACATTTTGAGGAATTAGAAGGTTAGTTTTTTGTTTTTGAAAGAGAGAGTGACAAAGATTTTCTTGAGGCCTTGTTGTTCAACTTCCTGGTTTTCATAGACATGGGTATTGCAGAAGCCTGAACTACTGATGGTTCCCAAGCAACCTCTGTGTACAGTTTCCATATATGCAGGAACAGTCATAAATAGATCTAATATCAGGAGCACACTGCTGCATATTTTTCAGGGTGTTCATTCACATCTCTAGAGTTAGAGGAAGCACCCAGAAAATGAGGGTCCATAAAGCAGTTGCTCATCCACCCAGATTTATCAGTTTATTGTTAGATGAGATTGAGCAGGTTGTAGTAGCAAAGAGGAAAGTAGCATGCATGTTGGGTGCACATGGCCTCCTAGATCAAACGGAGTAAGAGCAGTGTCTCTTTATACATTACCAAGCAAAGACACAGGAGAGCAAAGATGACTAACATGGGACAGCCTGTGGAGTGCTTCACATCTCACATTCTCAGTTATGCTTTTCTGAGCACGAGTATAATGAGAAACTGGTGGGGCATGAGAGAATGTGACTCATCACTCAGTTTGGGGAACCTATTTGTGGGTTATGAAGCATTGATGGAAAAAACTTGGCCAAGTAGATAGAATTCAGTTTTTGAAGGTACATGCTTGAGGACAGAGATGCTTCCTAAGACATTCCAGGAGGAAATTTGGAATATTGCAGTAGAAGGTATAGTTGACTTCATAAGCCTAAAAAAAAAAAAAAAAAAAAAAAAAAAACATGGTCTGACTTGTAACTTGTTTTCACATACACTTTAAATGGCTTGATAATAAACTTATAATTCTTTAAAGACAGCTAATAAGAGCCAAAGAAGCATTTATTTTGACCTCACTTCTGTGAGCATTTTCATAAAAGTTTCCAGGGTTACACAATTCAAGAAATTAGCACTTGGAGGTTCATAGAGTCACACTGTCATAGTGTCAGTTGGGCTGAACTAATTTCATACTGAGTGTGTTTGCTACCTGCCACTAAAATAATCAGCTTACAGAAATAAAAGTTTCACTTGGCTCGGAGTTTGGAGGTTTCAGTCCACCAGGTTTGGCCCCATGGTAGCATATCATGGCACATCATGGCTGAAGCACTCAATAGGATAAAAGAGTTGGTGGCTGGAGAGTGAGGAGGAGAAAAGGACCAGGACACAGAAGTTGTAATCCAAGACCATGTCCCCAGTGACCTAAATCTTCCCAGGAGGCAGAATCTTTCACTTTTCACCACTTTTCAATAGCACCAACACGAAAGTCTCTTGGAGCACATTCCACATCCAACCTATGTGCATGAAATATCTTGTTTTAACTTGGATGCTAGTCTGGGAAACCCTTCTAATCATATTTGTGCAAGTGAAAACTCAGACAAAAGTATTTGTTTGTCCTTCCTCTCTTTCATTCTTTAAAGCTGGGTGTGCTTTCCGATAGGGACTGGCGATCATATCCATTCCACAATAGACTCTTCTCTGTATTGTAGGAGATGCAGCTAACTCCCCAAACTTGGAAAACATGGACCTGGATGAGTTGTCTTTGTTTGGAAATCTTCTGGGGCCGGGCCCAGCCCTCTTGAACCGGAACCGACTGTCCAGTGAGAGCAGCTGTAAGAGCCGGTTGAGTTCAGTGACCATGGACAGTGAGGATGGCTACAGGACAAGTGTGTCTGAGGACTCTAGCCGGGGTGCCTTCAGCAGGCAGACCAGCACCGATGATGAGTGCTTTCTCTCTAAGGACGGAGATGACATTCTGAGGAATGCTTTTTCCAGAAAAAACAGGAGCATCAGTGTCACTAGCAATGGTTCTTTATCTCCCTTGTGGGAGGGCAATTACTCAAGCATGTTTGGGACTCTACCCCGGAAAAGCAGACGGGGAAGTGTCCGGAAACAAATTTTGAAATTCATCCCTGGCCTTCATCGTGCAGTGGAAGAGGAAGAGAGTCGCTTCTGATGGGTGGCAGAAACCATTTGAGTGGGCTCGTTTCACAATTCTCCCTGCACTTGCCTAGATGAGCTCCACCTGGCTTAGTGGGGGAAGTACAGCCTGGTTGAGAAGCTCACATCCCATTTCACAGCAGCTTTGACCTTTTTAAGTTCTTACATTGTTACTTGGGGGTCTAATATCATTTCATTGTTTTTCTTCTAGTACAGCTCAAGTTCTAAGCAGTCACCAGGGGAAGAAAGTAATAGGTTAGATAATGTAATAATAGTCCTCTCCATTCTAATGCTGGCCATGGAAGTACAAACTCATTTTACTGACTATGCTTGTAAGAAGTGGAGAACTGTTTGGAGTCAAGTGTGAATGTGGACTGTCAGGATATAATTATTGGCTTGCCTTCTATGGGGTATTTGATAAACTACACCTTTTGTTTGCTTAATTTACTCAGTAGCCTCTGGGGGAGCCTTCATAAGAAAGAATTTACATTTTGTTCAAACTATTAAAGGATCATAAACAAAATGACCATAGGCATCTTCTCACTTTGACAGTGACAATGAGGCAGGAGGGTAGTGTTGGAGGTGAAGGGCTGAGCTTCCTGAGAATCATGGAATGGGCACTTGGAACCATTACCCCAAGCCTTTGTATGTGTGTGTGTGTTGGGTGGGAAGATGTCTAAATAAAATGAATGAGACTCTCATTTTTTTTCCAATTTCAATTTTTTTTTCTGCCTAAACATGGATGCCAAGTCCCCAAATTTCAGCATCCAATGGATCTGCGATTATATTTTGCTACGAATGTGTAAAATTCTAAAAAGGTGGGTGGAAAAAGACCTTGTTTTTCCTGTTCCTCCTCATTATACAGTCCACATAGGTGTCGCCTCACCCCTTGCTTCCCTGGTAGCTATGCTTATTGTGTTCTCACCTTTCAATCATTTTCTATTTTATTTCAACATCCATTAAAGTCTTTGTCCTGGTGATACAGCTGTTTATTATCTATATGCTGAAGGAAACAGAATGAACTATGTGATGAAGATTTAAGTTGATTCCAAGCTCAAGTGTGTGTGTGTGTGTGTGTGTGTGTGTGTGTGTGAACAGAATTACTATGTTTAAGTGAATTTCTAGTTGATCCATATAACATATTTTTGAAACAAAAGTGAGATAAGGAAGTTTATAGAATAATAACCAATAAACTAGTAAAAGATATCTAGGTGGGACCTGCTGCATACCAATTAGAGGCTGTATATGGCATATTTCCGAGGCATTCCAGCAGTTTTCCTCCCAAATAAATAGTATCAGGTATTCTGAGATCATCTTGCATATGATCCTGGAACAATTGAGGACAGGGTTAGCCTATTGGTATCCTGGCTGATACTGGAAGCCATTGCTTCTTGGATCTAGCCAGTACTCTTGGTCTCTTTGGATTTCCATATGCTTGCTTGTTCTGCTGTCGTTACATTAGAACAACTGGGCCTATCTCAGCCTGGATGTATATGATACAAGGATTTAGGATGTCAGAAACTAGTAAAAGATATCTAGGTGGGACCTGCTGTTTATAAATCCTCTAAATTAAGACATACCAATTAGAGGCTGTATCTCTCATCAAAAATCAACAGTGTATCTCTCACCAGAAATTAACAGTGGCTCTTGAGTTGTCTCAGATGAAGATTAAAGACACAGACATACATAGGAGTGAGCAGAGAAAATGAAGCTTTATTGAGGAAAGCTGGGGAAAGAGAGAAATTAAGAGAGAAACTCCTGAAAGTTGGATGGATAAAACAACACTTTTAAAGAGTAGAAAAGCAATAGAAATGTCTAGAAATCTTTATTTTTATTTATTGAATTTGCAGCAGAAACTGGACAAAGACTGAGATCTGTTTCTTAGCTATTGGACTTGATCTCTGTCTGTTAGTAGATATATTTCTGGCTGCTAATTAAATTACCGTCTCTTTGTTCCTACATTCATAAGACCTGCTTGCAGTTTTATCATGGCAGAAAGCTAACTTGATCACAGCTACCAAGTTGTGGCTGTTTCTGTCCTTTGTTACTTCAGTTTAACATTGTGTGTGGGGTAGCTGCCTTTCTGAACTACATGGAAGCTTCTTATTAGAAGATATCTTTACCCACAATTTAGTCTGTCACAGCTGAACTGGAAAAAAGACTATATGAAAGGGCAACTGTGCCTTGTTATGTTCCACCAGTCATGCTACCTGTATTGGATTGACTGAATTTGGGAACAGGGAATGATCGCTGGAGTAGGCCATCATCTATGATGGAGACAAACCAGCATCCTGGAAACTCATCATGTTTATTACACAGCCGAACAAGGAGGCCAATTTAGAATATATAGCAAAACAAGGACATGGGTTAGCTATTTCTGTTAAGATGTCTCTACAGGGGAGCAAGCTAAGGCTTCAGTCATCCCAGAGGAGAAAGCTGTAGTTGAAACTTTTACACACTGTCAACATCTGTATTCAGACAAGGGGAAAGCCTTGGCATTCCTGTGGGTCTGAGACACTGGGGTCTTCTGACATGGCTGAGTTCATGTCAACAATATATATTCATTCTAGACTTATCCTCTCCCCAAGCCGTTGGCCATTTGGCCTGCCAGTAGAGGCCTTGCTACCTAAAGCCTATCTTTTTTATTTTTGTATCTAGTCATCATTATTGTAATCCAGGCAAATCTTGCCCTCCTTCTTATCTACTTGTGCATGACAGGTGTATGTACCCTAACCCTTTAAAAGAATAACTCCACCCACTTCCATTCTCTTTCTCACTGTTCCTCTGAAGGGGCAGACAGGACTTTTCCTGTCTCCCTCTTCCCTTCTATCCTCTCTGTATCTCTGTGTCTCTTTTCCTCTTTTCTCTTTTTTCCCTTATTTTCTTACCCCCCCAATAAAACTTTCAATGTCAGTCACATCTATAGGTTCAGGCCTCTGTTATCCATCTGCCTACTACCATCATCTGGGGACCTGCCATATGTGGTCCCAAACCATTGCCATGTATTCCTATCAATCATAGTTGTCTCATACTCAGCTGCAAGCTTTCTTCTTCATCTTCCTTGGCAGATTAAACTTAATTGTTTTAACTCCAACCTTCATTTTAACCCTAGTATCTGCTTTGAGCTTCATCTTTGTGATCAACAAAAAGTCTTCACCATGAACCCCTTTCCCTTACTACGTGCAGTGAGATAGCTCTTGCCTCAGTTCTATTCAGTTCTCACTGTAATACTTTTGGCAAGTAGGAAACCAAATATTTAGGATGGTCCTTTTCCTTAGAATTCATTAGCAAGTTTTCAACTATAGGCACATTAGTACCTAAATCATTAGCAATACATTAATATGTCCTTAAGAGCTCATAAATCAGTCACTATTCGGCTGGTACAGCATTTTTCTCATCTCCTAGGATCATCATTAAGCTGATATCATAAACATCAGTTTTTAGGAACACAACGAAATTTCACTTCAAGAAGTACCAAGAAGAGACATGGATTTATATGGGTCAAGATGACTTAAAAAAAACAAAACAAAACAAAACAAAACAAAACAAAAAACCCCTTCTCTTACACAAAAACTCATTTGTTGCAGAGCTACTTCTAATCATCTCAGAAAAGCAGATCATAGGTCACCAGCTTCTCTTGTGACTTTAATGCAGAAGTACAAACTTCTGTTAGTAAATGTCAAATGCAAAGTGGGGACAGGGAAGGGACAGAACAAGTATCAAGTTCATCTGTCTTGAGGAGAATTAGCATCAAGAGGTAGATCTGTGTTCTTGAGGTTTGTGGGGAGGAAGCAACACTGGTTAACAAGGCACAGGAAGGGAGGTTGCTGGTTTTGAAAAGCAGTCTAATTGAAAAGGGAGTGAATTTCTCACCATGCTTAATCTGCATCTGGCCTGAGTAGGACAGTAGAAAAAGTTTCAGTGGCACTGTGACTAACCTGAATGCAGTTTATAGGGGAAAATAATTTAATAGCCATTTTAAATTCCAAAGTTATCAAGTCTGTAATTTTGGTGTATCACATTGACAATTTGTTATGAAAATACTGTTTTCTAGAATGGTATCTGACAAACCACCTCTGAGTCATGCATATTCTGAACTGCATAATCATGTAGCTACAAGAATATTGTATCAAACAAGTAGGAAATGCATTTTTAAAATTTTGTTATTTTACATGTATGAGTATTGTACCTACATCCATGTATATACCTGGCACCTGTGGAGATCAGAAGGTATCAGATTCCTTTGGAACTAGAGTTATATATAGATGGTTGTTAGCCTCAGTGTAAGTGTTGGGTACTGAACCTGGACCTCTGCAAGAACAGTCAGTGTTCTTAGCTATGAGAAATCTCTCCAGCCCCAGGAAATGCATTTTTTTAATTCAAAATACTCTACTTTTATTACTTTTATATCTTGAGTGCCTGACATAAATGGCAATAGAAATATCAGTTTCAGCCAAAGAAACTAAACTTGGACATAGTTTCTATGCACTCATTATGACGTGTATGTATGCCGGTAAGCAAAGGAGGGTAAATAATACATAACTAGACTGAACCCTCCAGGTCACAAACAGTGTCACTTGTTGTCTACTTGCATACAGACTTGTGAACTACAAAAAAAAGTTTATTTTTTAGGAATAAGGAATGCTCTTCTTGGATATGATCATTTTCTTTCTTCTTTTTCTATTATAAGTGAGGAGTTTGTTTTAAAGGCAGATTTCAAAACATCTGAGTGGCCACTTGAGGCTTTATGATGCCATTTGTGGTGTTCTAAATGAGATTGGCCCCCATAGGCTATTATGTTTCAATACTTGGTCCCCAGTCAATGCAACTCTTCTGGAAGGGTTAGGAAATGAAGACTTGTTGAGGAGGTGTGTCACTGGGAGTGAGATTTGAGGGTTCAGAAGACTCAGTCCTATCCTAGTGTCTCTCTACTTCATGGCCTTATCTCAAGATGTGAGCTCTTAGCTACTGCTCCAAAGCCAGGACTGCCCGCCTGATGACATACTCCATGCCATGTTGGTCATGGACCCTAGCCCTCTGAAACCATAAGGCCCAAATTAAATGATTTCTCTTATAATTTGCCTTGTCCATGGTATTTTATCACAGCAATAGAAAAGTAACCAACACAATGTTAAAAGGAACCATATTTCTAGGGACTGGGGGGGGTTTGTTGCCTAGTGTGTACAAGGCTCTATGCTCAATCCCATTACCACATATAGCTAAATCAAACCAAATGTTACCAACTTTTTTCAGGGTTTATAGTCATTAATTTTCTATCATGACTTAAAAAAATTATTACACTTGTAGAGACTGAGCTGGGTCAGGTGTCCAGGCACAAGTTCGGGTCTGCTTAATGTCTCAGAGAGAGACCTACAGTAAAGAAGCTGGCCAGGTTTGAGTTCACATCTGAAGTCTAGACTGAGAATTCACTTGTAAATTCCTGGCTATTGTCAGAGTGTTGTCCTTGTTGCCTTATGATTCCAGTTATCTCCTTTCTTCAGATCCATCAATACAAGGGGGAGGCCAAGGGCAATGAAGAATCTTAAGTAATTCAGTTTAGTCATGGGTGATAGACCATAGTCTTTGTTGTGTAACATGACCACTGTAATGTCTTCTCATGGGCTGTGCCAGATGATGTAACATGGGAGTGGCATCCTGACACTTGTGCTGTGTGTCAGAATATAATCTTGGAGCTCAATCTTATCAGTGTGTTTGCATTATATTGGATGCAAGACATGGGCTCCATCTTCTAGAGGCAGGGTAGTTTTTACTTACATATTTAAAAAATTGTTTTTACTTATGTGTATATGAGTGGATATCACCTATGTAGATACAAAGAGAAGTCAAAATAAGGTGTTGTATACCCTGAAGCTGAAATTATATGTATGTAGGTACTGGGAATTGAACTTCTAGAACAGCAGGAAGGGCTACTTATCAGTGACCCACCTCCCCAGGCATGAGAAGCAGGAATTTGAAGGAGGATAGGCATAGGAGGTGGAGAAACTTAACCTTCAGAGCATCTATTTGCAGCACCATTCAAAGACTT